TCTGGGGCTCTACCGACTGCTGAGACTTCTCCTAAGCAACCTTTGTGAAGGCTCCCTCTTGTGTGTTTATTTTGACTCATGTATATGTACATATTTGTAGCTTATCGGGAATATCAATAAATAAGCTTTTCCTTCATTTCAACGTATTGTGTTAAATACACCAAAGCCTTCTTCGCTAAGTTCTTTGAATTTTCTTTTGTTGAAGCTTGTATGTTGAAGCTTGTATGTTGAAGCTTTCTGAGTGGAGCATGTAGGTTGGGGTAGTGTTCCCTTAATTTCCCGAGTGAGGAAAACTTCTCGGTTGGAGACTTGGAAAATCCAAGTCACTGAGTGGGATCGGCTATATGAATCTTAGAACGCCATTGTGCTCGATCCTGTGTCATGTCCTTCGTTAGATCCAAGTACTCTAAGTCTTTTCTTAGAGTCTCTTCCAAAGTTTTCCTAGGTCTTCCTCTACCCCTTCGGCCCTGAACCTCTGTCCCATAGTCGCATCTTCTAATCGGAGCGTCAGTAGGCCTTCTTTGCACATGTCCAAACCACCGTAACCGATTTTCTCTCATCTTTCCTTCAATTTCGGCTACTCCTACTTTACCCCGGATATCCTCATTCCTAATCTTATCCTTTCTCGTGTGCCCACACATCCAACGAAGCATCCTCATCTCCGCTACACCCATTTTGTGTACGTGTTGATGTTTCACCGCCCAACATTCTGTGCCATACAGCATCGCCGACCTTATTGCCGTCCTATAAAATTTTCCCTTGAGCTTCAGTGGCATACGGCGGTCACACAACACGCCGGATGCACTCTTCCACTTCATCCATCCAGCTTGTATTCTATGGTTGAGATCTCCATCTAATTCTCCGTTCTTTTGCAAGATAGATCCTAGGTAACGAAAACGGTCGCTCTTTGGTATTTCTTGATCTCCGATCCTCACCCCTAACTCGTTTTGGCCTCCATTTGCACTGAACTTGCACTCCATATATTCTGTCTTTGATCGGCTTAGGCGAAGACCTTTAGATTCCAACACTTCTCTCCAAAGGTTAAGCTTTGCATTTACCCCTTCCTGAGTTTCATCTCTATCAACACTATATCGTCTGCGAAAAGCATACACCAAGGAATATCATCTTGAATATGTCCTGTTAACTCATCCATTACCAACGCAAAAAGGTAAGGACTTAAGGATGAGCCTTGATGTAATCCTACAGTTATGGGAAAGCTTTCGGTTTGTCCTTCATGAGTTCTTACGGCAGTCTTTGCTCCTTCATACATATCCTTTATAGCTTGGATATATGCTACTCGTACTCCTTTCTTCTCTAAAATCCTCCAAAGAATGTCTCTTGGGACCCTATCATACGCTTTTTCCAAATCTATAAAGACCATGTGTAAATCCTTTTTCCCATCTCTATATCTTTCCATCAATCTTCGTAAGAGATAGATTGCCTCCATGGTTGAGCGCCCTGGCATGAACCCGAATTGGTTGTCCGAAACCCGTGTCTCTTGCCTCAATCTATGCTCAATGACTCTCTCCCAGAGCTTCATTGTATGACTCATTAGCTTAATACCCCTATAGTTCATGCAATTTTGTACGTCACCCTTATTCTTGTAGATAGGCACCAAAGTGCTCGTTCGCCACTCATTTGGCATCTTCTTCGTTTTCAAAATCCTATTGAAAAGGTCAGTGAGCCATGTTATACCTATCTCTCCCAAAAGTTTCCACACTTCGATTGGTATATCGTCTGGGCCTATTGCTTTTTTATGTTTCATCTTCTTCAAAGCTACAACCACTTCTTCCTTCCGGATTCGACGATAAAAAGAGTAGTTTCTACACTCTTCTGAGTTACTCAACTCCCTAAAGAATCACTCATTTCATGTCCTTCATTGAAAAGATTATGAAAATAACCTCTCCATCTGTCTTTAACCGCGTTCTCTGTAGCAAGAACCTTTCCATCCTCATCCTTGATGCACCTCACTTGGTTTAGGTCCCTTGTCTTCTTTTCCCTTGCTCTAGATAGTTTATAGATATCCAACTCTCCTTCTTTGGTATCTAGTCGTTTATACATATCGTCGTAAGCCGCTAACTTAGCTTCTCTGACAGCTTTCTTCGCCTCTTGCTTTGCTTTTCTATACCTTTCACCATTTTCATCGGTCCTCTCCTTGTATAAGGCTTTACAACATTCCTTCTTAGCCTTCACCTTTGTTTGTACCTCCTCATTCCACCACCAAGATTCCTTTTGGTGTGGGGCAAAGCCCTTGGACTCTCCTAATACCTCTTTTGCTACTTTTCGGATACAACTAGCCATGGAATCCCACATTTGGCTAGCTTCCCCCTCTCTATCCCACACACATTGGGTGATTACCTTCTCTTTGAAAATGACTTGTTTTTCTTCTTTTAGATTCCACCATCTAGTCCTTGGGCACTTCCAAGTATTGTTCTTTTGTCTTACTCTTTTGATATGTACATCCATCACCAACAAGCGATGTTGATTAGCCACGCTCTCTCCTGGTATAACTTTGCAATCCTTACAAGTTATACGATCCCCTTTCCTCATTAGAAGAAAATCTATTTGTGTTTTTGACGACCCACTCTTGTAGGTGATCACATGTTCTTCTCTCTTCTTAAAGAAGGTGTTGGCTAAGAAGAGATCATATGCCATTGCAAAATCCAAGATAGCTTCCCCATCCTCGTTTCTCTCCCCAAAACCATGGCCACCATGAAAACCTCCATAGTTGCCTGTCTCCCTGCCCACGTGTCCATTTAAATCTCCTCCTATAAATAACTTCTCCGTCTGAGCAATTCCTTGCACCAAGTCTCCAAGATCTTCCCAAAATTTCTCCTTCGAACTCGTATCCAACCCTACTTGAGGTGCTCCCTAAATTTTAATTTTATATGATTAACCCACTGATATTTTAAATTTTAATTTTATATGATTAACCCACTGATATTTTATACAAGCCAAACTCCCCCCCTCCCCTACTCCGACTTTAGGTTTTGAAAATTTTCATCCAATTTTCAGTCCATCTTGTGTACCATCTCACATCGTCCAGGAGAGTGGATCCTCTAAGCCTTATATGTACATTCCCACCTCCATTTAGCACGAGGCCTTTTGGGAGCTCATTAGTTTCGGGTTCCATCGGAACTCCGAAGTTAAGCGAGTTCACGTGAGAGCAATCCCATGATGGGTGACTCACTGGGAAGTTCTCGTGTGAGTTCCCAGAAACAAAACCGTGAGGGCGTGGTTGGGGCCCAAAGCGGACAATATCGTGCTACGGTGAAGTCAAGATCGGGATGTGGTGCGGGCCCAAGCCGAGATGTGACTATCTTGTCATGTGGACATCACATGTATCACAACAAAAAGATAATTTGATTTGGTAAATAGGGTGCAAAGCCAATACTTTGCGGTTGCTAATTGGACTTCCATGGTTAATTCAAACAAAAAGGATCCAGAGACAACTAGCGGACGAGACGAAGAAGAAAAATTGACAATCTGTTGTCCATATATGGGATAAAATTACTTTATTACCCTCAAACATTTTCCATGTGACCAAAATGGATAGAAAATTGGATGGAAAATCCTAAAATTTAACGTCATAGAGAAAATTGGCTAATTATAAAAGTTCAGGAGAGTAACAATACAATCAAAGTTAAGGGAGAAAATTAACAACTCAATACAAGTTCGAGAGAGAAATCGACAAATACCTCTAATAATAGGGACTCAAATACATGGATAGATATAGCATAAGATGTTGAAAATATGATAGAAGCAAGCCTTTTTTTCGGCATGATGCATGGAATGTAATCTTTATAGGGTACCGTCGCCTTCCCTTTGTCAAAAGCCAAGAAAAAGTGATTAAGTGAATATTAAACATTAAAGAATTAGATTGAGAAAATGAGCATAGTCCATTGAGTGGGATAATACTTGGATATTCATTAGTGAGGGGGCACTTTTGCTCTTCATCATAACTATGGTGTATGCTCACTATACACCTAATTATTTGCCATGTGTTCTTTCACTTAACTCTAGTTAAGTTTCACATTTAAGGTTACTTTTTCACTTTTGAAGATAAGTAATTAAAGTTAAGTGAAATGACACGTGGTATATGATTAAGTATATGATGAGCATACACCGTAGTTTTTGATGGTGAGCAAAAAGTACTGTTTAGTGAGTACTTATCTTTTGATTTTGTCTAAAGATATCTTAACATACGTTTTATTGTTTAAAAAAATGTAAACGTTATTAATTTTTTTTGGGCTTTAAAAAACAAAGAACACGTGAGATTTTTTATGAGGCCAAGTCAAAAAATGAGTAACAGTATTCATTAGTGAAAACCTAAATTTTATCCGATTAAGTGTACTGTTTAAGTTGTTATTGGAACTCTAAGAAAATTCATCATGCACTATTATTTTGTGAAAGCACGAGGGAGAAAATTATACTTCAAAGCATGCAAATACCATTTTGCCCAAAAAAGTAAGAAAGAATGCAAATACAATTAGCACACCCGCCACTTTACCTAAAAAATGTGAAACACATGAATTTACAAACACATATTGAGTGAGGCAGGAGCACGTGTGGTTTTGAGTCAAACGCATGAGCAAAAATATCCAATCCAACGATGGGCAATTCGTGGAGACGTGGAAAATCTATCAAATTCTAACTCACCTATATTCTCCAATTTTGGCCATGTTTTTTCACTTTGATAAAGCTAGAGGTTAATGGGGGGCATAACACCACCCAAACACAGAAGATAAAGATTTAAGAGCATTTATCCTTGCACTCCAAACACGTACAAAAATGCGATAAATACATGTAAGCATATCTTCAAACAGCTCCTACAATCTCTATGGGGAGAGGACACAGCTTCCTCGATGAGTTCATTTTATATGGAAAAAGCACCAGTCATGCATAAACTATTTGCGGCTAGACATACAAACTTTTGCAAACCAAAGTCTTTCAAGTTAACAATTACTTGCACGAAAAAAAAAACAACAAAAGAGAAGAAGAAAAGAACAAATAAAACAGTTACAAAGAAACTTAACTCATCACATAAATACTTTATAGTACATCCTTCGGACCACAATTTAAGAGAAAAATACTATCAAAGGACTGGAGCCAGCCTTCCGTGTTTCAGAAGGGAATAAAATGGCACGTTCCCTCAATAACAGGAGGAAGAGTTATAATAAACTATAAATAGGTAGAAGCTAGCCCCTTCGTTGAAAACTTATAAAATCGGCCGGTATCATGCTAGGTCAAGGAAGAAAATGTTTCAGCAAGTGAATACCGTTCTTGATTTGTGCCTTAGAAAACTTTCCGATTAATCTTCATCAGAATAATTGAACTTGACCGAGTGTGACTGCAGATCAATCAGCCCTCCTCTGTATGTCCCACGCTTCTTCTTGGTCTTTTCATGCCGAAAATCCCTGCAAATTCAATGTAAAGCATAATTAAGAAACAAGTGCCTATAGAGCGCGAGGCATTCTAGCGTGGTGTATGCACATGTGCATGTCTGAATGAAGGACATAAAGCTTGAAGTCTACTATAGTTCTCAACAGGAAGCATCACAATTAGCTCAATAATAATAAGAAAGACTAGTTATTATTTTTATTTTTGAATATTTATGTTTAAGAGTGTCAAATCATTCAGCTCTTTATGTACACAAGAAATATATTTTAAAACCCTTTCCCCATCCAAACCCTAGTGGGACAGATAAAATATAGTTCAGGAGTCCTGCTCTACTGGATGACAGTTTTTGCAAAACTGTGAGCGGCAATTAATTTACACTATAGTGTTGGATTACAAACAAAAGGAGGGGTTATTAGCCATAGGATCCATATGTTGTGCACAGGCGCTCAAAAACAGTGCATTAGTTGAAACTTGAAATACGTAAGAGTTTTCCCAGCAAAACCAATTTCACTATAGTAGGGTCCACAGGAGAAAAAGAGAAGGATGGTTAGAGGTGAAGAAATAGGAGAGAGCAAAGACTTAAGAGACGTGGTCCCTGTTTTTCTGATAATAATGTAACTCTAACTCTAACTTATGCATTTGAAAATGTGGAAAGACATAAAATTTTGATTAATACAAAAAAAAATTCATTTGCATAGAAGTAACATGTTTTTTTAACAGTATAATTATTTCCTAACAGACAATATGTACAAAGGATTTATACCATTTATGTTTGTCACAGCTTTCATAGCTGATCCTCTAACCCTTAACCTTTTCCCTCTTCTAGTATGATAATGGATTTTTCTTCTCTGAACATTTTAATCTACTGAACCCCCATTCCATTCTTTATCCAAGTTGACTTGCAAGGTAGTATGAGGGGTCTCCGTTCAAACAAATTAAGGCACAAGAGACATCTAAATGTAGCTTTGATTACAAGTCAGCTAGATGATTTTCTTTTTTAACTGTGAACCCCACCTGCTGTTTACCCAATTAACACCCAAATTAACTGTCCGTCTACCTACAACCTGTCTATAGCCTGACTCCAACTTAAATCAAATAAATCTTATCACATTTAACGCCTTTCACTAAACATGACCAAACCATCTCAAACAATTATTCCTCACAATTCATTTTATCCAGGATTGGTGTCATCCTCACCCAATTGCATATACATGTGTGTATGTATATATTGTATATCTTGATTGAGTCATTCACATGAAATCCTTATCTCAACTACACTGACTTAATGGGCATGTTGGTTTGAACTTGCCAGTGATGTGCATCTTTTTTTCATAATTACAAACATGTCCATGCCACCAAAAATGGCAGGCCTTGCAGCAATCCATTAAAGCTTCACAGGTGTTTTATCATCATAAAATACAATATTTTTATATATGCTATCTAATATAACCATAAAAGTTTTCACCAGATAACTATGGTGAAAACTGCAAACTTGTTCAGTTTTTAATCCAACCAACCACTATAAGATTTAACAATACAAATGGGAACAACACTTTGGACTACAAAAAACTGACCCACTCTCTAATAGAGGTGTGCCCTACCATTTGTATGTGGGAGCCACTTCTATCAGAGTGTCGGTTTTGTTTATCTAACTAGCATTGCTCCAAAAGGAAAAGCAAGATGAAAATTCAAAAGAGCATAAAACAGTTTAAAATACAGCATCTTTAGTTAACTTTAATAAACAAGTGGCAATCAGCATACACACCTTCCTCTGACTTGCCCAAGAATCTCTTGTGCTTTTGCACCATAGCCAATCTCCGCACCATCCTGCACAGAATTGAGAGTGAGAAATTAGTGGGGACAAAGATAAGTACAGATTACAAGAAGATAATACATAAGGTAATCATTCTCATACCTTTGCCCAGTAAGAATTATCTCGAAGCTTCTCATCAATAAATTCCACCTCATCAGCTTTTACCCTTTGAAATGCATTAACAGTCTTTGGCTGCACTAACAGCATTTATCAACATTGTTTAACCTTGAAGTTACATAAGTATAATGCACAAGAGAGAAATTGAGATATAGAGAAAAGGAAACAAGCATGAATCCAACAACAACATCAGGCACCACATGCGAAACTCATGCGTAATATAGAACAGAATAATAGTTGAGAAGAAAATTTCCCAAGAAAGAACTCATTTGAAATGACTTAGTGAACAATTAAAAGAATACGACTTCATACCACCTGCAAAATCAGTAAAATTAGATCTAAATAATAATAGGACAATAGAGCTTGAAAAAAGTAACAAATGAAGATAAAGAGTTCAATTTGAGACGAGATTTTAATTGATTTCGACATAAAAAAATGAAGGAAAATGCATCTGACAAGTCATGTAGAACATGTCAAATCATGTAGAACCTATAAAATCTCAAACGAGGCTGCATGAATAAATCACATCTCAAATGGTTCCTATCACACATAAAGATAAAGGAAATACCTCAGCTGAACCATTGTGTTGTTTCTTGTTTTTCTTAATAAAAGACTTCTTAGCACTTTTATCTAGTTCACCAAAATTTTCAGCTTTTCCTTGTGATGCATTGTTATTTACTGGTTGCTCACTTCCCTTGGATGCTTTTGAGCCCTCTACCTTTCTGCGGTTGGATACTTCATCTTCTTTGTTGTTGGCAGGCTGTGAATCATATCCTTCAGAAGCTAATCTTTTTCTTTTTTTGGAACCTTTATTCTCCTTATCAGTAGCATCCACATCTGATATCTTGAAATCATATTTTCCAGAACTAGTTCCATTCGTATCTCCTATACTAAGCGCCTTCCCTTTCTCACCACCTAAACTTTCAGAAACCAAACCATCTTTCTTTTTCTTCTTACTTTTAGGTTTGACACTCTTCCCATCCATTGGATTGTCATCAGCAACTGATTTACCCATTTCAATCGCATCATTTTTTCCTTCCAAGCCATGCTGCTCTACACCAGCACTGACAGAATCGGTACTTGACTTGTTCTTCTTTTTCTTCTTATCCCTTGGTTTCTTTTCTATCTCAGAATCACCCACACCATTTTCCTTTAAAAGTACAGCATCTTTAATTTTTTTTTCAGTTGCACCAAGAAATTGCTCTGATTGATGTTCTTCTGCTGCACCAGCAAGAGAACCAGAAGCTAGCTTGGACTTCTTTGCCTCCTTGGATAACTTATCCGCCATTAACAGCAATTGGAAGGTATCCTTCAATACTATGCAGAATTAAAAGACTAACATAAGCGCTACATACAAATAATGAACATATAACTACATCCTGAGACTCATATTCATACGCATAAGAGAGAGAGAGAGAGAGAGAGACGATGAAAACCAAAAATATTTATAAATTCCTGCATACCTTTCTCCTCGCTGTGGACATTTGTGCCTCCACTACTACATAACAGAGAAACACAAGCTAAATTAGAATAGAAACTGAAATTTAATGTTTATCTAAACAGCAGTATAATCACCAAATGTATTTGAGGCATTAGGGCAGTCTGCCAGACAGCATCAGGATTTTTCCCATTAGATTTCATGCTAGTGATTGCCATCAGCACAATTCTAGGATGTTGAACAAAAACCTAAGATAACCCTCTAATTAAAACTATTATTTAAAAGAAAATCCTTTAATTTGAAACTACTTAAGCATTAAAACAAAATCTATCACAGTCGTGATAACACTGATTTCCTACTATAAAGAACACTACATAATCATCAAATCCCAAATCCTTCTTTCTAACTCCACATCGCTGAAAGATTAGCATGATAACATCCTTCTTTCTAACTCCACATCGCTGAACTTACAAAAAAATCAGAAAAGAAAAAAAAAGGTTCGTAATTTATGTTGCCACACAAAAATTATCATCTGTATTAAACTCATACCGTTGAATACTTTAAATAAACGAGTGTAAAGATTTAAAGAACCATTTTAAAAAGTATTTGAGAAGATGTTACAATTGATGACCGTCTTCATATAAATTCATTAAGAGAAGAAAAGAAAGTTGAAGAATTGGTCAACTCACCACATCTCAGAATACTTGCAGTACATTTCTCCCAAATCCAGTGGCAAATCCTTCAGTTCACTTTTCTGCAAAAGGGTCAATAACCAATTCTGAATTCAATTCACTATCAACCACAGAATACAGTATACACTTATCATTTTGAAAGTCTAATACTTGGTTAAGAAATTGTCCAACTCCATCTTATGCGACAATGTTACGAGTGCATTACTATCCATTCATATTAGATATGAACCAGGCCAAGGAAAAAATCATAACGGATACGATAACGACACTGGATTAACTACTGAAGGTCCAAAACAAACAGTAAAATACTCTATAAAGAATGCTTCGACCATTTAGGGATTTTTCATGAGTAAATTGTAGCTTCAATTTTAATCAAATTGGAGCAGTAATGGAATCTTCGCTCCAATTGGATTAAAGTTGAGTAAAGTTGAGGGATCATTTTTCCTGTTGAATTAAAGTTGAGATCATTAATACAAATTTTTTAATTTGATTTTTCATATTTGCCCCTTAATTTAACTTCTCAGTTTGATAGAAGTTCTAACAGAGTTGATGAAAATGACCTTAAATGCACGTTTTGATGAGAAGAAAAGTCAATGGTAATTAATTTTTAGTTGAGAGACCATTGCTACAATTTACTCATTTTTCAAAGACGGTTTCTATCAATTTCGAAACAACTTTTTGAGAATGCAACAATAAAAATTCATGTATGCTCTGCATTTTCATATTTTTCTAGGCAACCAAACAGAAATAGACAAGTGCCCACCTCGATTCCAGCTTCAGAAATGAACTTTTTCAAGGTTTTGGAGAACCCATTGTTTTCCAGGAACCGAGCCACGGCGCGGAGGAGTGGACCCTTCTGGTCGGGACTCGGAGTTTGTGCTCCGTCTGCAGAGCTATTGGGCTTCCTGTGCTCCATGTCTCGGTTTGCGAGCAGAACTTGGCGAGGCTTGAATGCGAGAAGGGTAGGGTTGATAGCGTCCTCCTGCGTGCTTGTTAGGGATTTGGGCATGCGAGGATTCTGCTCTGAGTAGGTTTATTGGAGAAGGACGAGGAGGGAGAAGGCACCAACGCCGACTGAGGGTTTTAGGAGGAATTAGGGTTTATTTGTGGCTGTGATTCAATATTCGGACATGGAGTTTGGCATAATTACGAACAATAACATTATATTGGAGTGCTCATCACTCACCGTGAAATGGATTTTTGTGGTTTTTTATTTTTTTTTTTGGGTCAAACGAAATTACTTTCATTAAAAAACTAGTACAAGAAAGAGAGACCCAAGGGCCTCTCATAAACAAGAGTAGGTAAAGTAAACGGCCCAAACAAAATAAAAGTTGTAACCCAAGATACAATGGGAGGTCTAAACAAACTTAGGCATGTAGGCAAAAAAGCAAACAACAAAATACCTAATCTAAAGTAGTATAAACCAAATCATTGTCGCCGTCGCATCCTCAAAGGAAGCTGTTTATACCATAGTTAGGGCCTCCGTATTTAGATCTCGTACAAAAACTCGGAGGATTTAAATGTAATTACGTAATAAAGGAATGGGCAAATATGTAATAAGTGATGAGCTCTTATTCTATAAAAAGACTCATCACCCTCACAATTTGGGGGAGGCCATTTCCTAGGCCTGAGGTCTCTCATATTCAGAGGAAGCCTCCTCACCCCAGAGGCTTCACTCTCACCTCACAAACTTTCTCTCCCTCACCTCTCAGATAAATATAATATCAGTGTGGACGTAACCCAAACCTTAGGGTGAACCACGATACATCTTGTGTTATTTACATTTCTTGCAGATTTACGGTCGGATTTACATTGTTCCAAGACCTCCGGTTTTGTGCATCAACATTTTGTGCCGTCTGTGGGAATCGACACAAAAAGCTATGTCAGTTCTCTTTCATTTTTCCATCTCACCACCGTGAGACCTCACCACTGTCCACCATGAATCTGCAAAAACCCAGAAACAATAAAGCTCCAAAAAAGCTCCAAAATTCCAAATCAAAGCAAGCAGCGAAAGAGCTAAGCGTACATACCTTAGTTGTGCTTCGACACTAAGCCCCAAGTGCAAGTTAGCAAGCCCATATGAGTGTGGGCAAGCAAAAGCAATCCAAGTCGTCGTCGTCGTCTCCGATGTTGTGCTCTTTACAAGGATCTCTCTTGACTCTCGCCATTTTCACCTTGCTCTCCTTCATCTATTTCTCCCTCAATCCATCTTGTCGAGCTCTCCTGCCTCTTAGCATTGTTCAAGACCGAGCTCTCTCTTCCTCCTTCCATGTTTGTGGGTTTTTCTGGTAATTTAATTATGATGTCGGTGACGTCGCCGAGAAAATCAATAACAGAGAATTAAATAAACTGGATATACAGGAGAGGAGAACTTCTGCATTCTATTTCTGGCCAGGATCTGAGACCCTACTGGCATATGTTGCTTCCTTTTTCCTATGTTATAATTTCAGGTGTTGTTGGATCATTCTCCTCTTCCACCTTTGAAGCCCCTTCTCCCCAGGGTCCCTGGCTACACAACCACCAGCGCTACCACTACCAACAACCACCAGCAACGACGGCGCCGGACCGCCAGCAACAGCTCCCTTTCTTCCCACTCTGATGAAGGTAGCCACCGCTCATTGGCAGCCCAAGTTCGATGACGCTGTGCACGAGGACGTCGGCACTAGGCTCACAATGGTCTCCACCGAAGAGATCTTCCTCGAGCGCCCCAGGGCTCCTGATTGTCTAGCTGACCGTTAAGATTGTGTACGACATCAGTAGAAAGACCATCTGTTTCAAGGTTTGGTTCAAGGTCTGTTTCAAGGTCGAGATACAATGGTTCCTTTTCGAAGTCTGTTTCAAGGTCGAGATACAAGTCAACAAGTCCTCCGTCAATCTTCCCAAGCCTTTCAATTTCGCCGCCGTCGAGAAGATCTTCAGCGCCTCCATTGGTTCCCAGAACAAAACCAAGTCCCAAAAACGCCACGACTGAAACTACGTCGCTCTCTCATTGCAACTGCCACCATATCCTCGATTTCCTCCACTGCCTGGATCAGTTCCGAAAGACTAAGGTTCACTTACACGGTTGCGTCTTCTTTGGGCAGCCTGACCAGCATGCCCCGTGCACCTGCCCTCTCAGGCAGGCATGTGGTAGTTTGGACGCGCTGATTGGACGTCTTCATGCTGCCTACGAGGAGCATGGATGGTCCCCGGAGACAAACCCTTTTGGGAATGGAGCTATTCGGGTTTCCTTACGTGAAGTGAATGAGTGTCAGGCTAAAGCAAAAGAAAGAAAAGCAAAAGTAAGAAAAAGAAATAGGAAAAGGAGGTCCGTAGTTAATGCCAAAGCAAAAGCAGAAAAGAGGTGAGTCCTATTAAAGCGGGGAGATCAAGAAAAGCATAAAAAACAAAAGCAGAAAAGAAAAGAGAAAAGAAAAAAAAGAAAGCAAAAGAAAAAACAAAAGGAAGGAATGAACACCCCACCAGAATGATGTGATTTACTTTTCTTGTTTTTGTATGATGTGATTTATTTTTCTTATCTTTCGGAGATATCTGTATAAACCCCATCAGAGGGTAATAATAAAAAATAAAAAAAAAGGGCAAAGCCCAAAATAAATAGGCTGGAAAGTTGTGTGGAGGACGAAGACCCATAAGCCCAAAATACCACCAACCAGGTGATCAGAAGTACGTCCAGTACTACAAAAAATTATTCGGCATCCTGCCTCTATTATCACCAACCAGGTGACCAAAAGTACGCCCAGTACTCCAAAATTATTCGACAACTTGCCGCTATTACCACCAACCAAGTGATCAAAAGTACGCCCAGTACTCCAAAATTATTCGGCAACCTGCCTCTGTTATCACCAACCAGGTGATCAAAAGTACGTCCAGTACTTCAAAATTATACATGAGCATTACTCATATCAATCATACATCAACATTCATGAGCATCACTCATATCAATCATACATAAACATTCATGAGCATCACTCATGTCAATATTCATGAGCATCACTCATGTCAACATTCATGAGCATCACTCATGTCAACATTCATGAGCATCACTCATGTCAACATCCATGAGCATCACTCATGTCAATCAACATAAACATTCATGAGCATCACTCATGACAATCAGCTTCAAAAGCTTCATTTACATAAGCTCTAGCTTCAAAAGCTTCATTTACAAAGTTCTAGCTTCAAAAGCTTCATTTACAAAAGCTTTAGCTTCAAAAGCTTCATTTACAAAGCTCCAGCTTCAAAGCTTCACTTGCAAAACTTCACTTACAAAGCTTCAATGCAGAGTATACAAATACCGCCTCCAAACAACCGCCTCTTTGGCCCATAAATGGATTCAATTTGAAGTCTCCAGCTAACAGACTCTATTGACCGAAGACTTGGGGACTACACTATACACCATATATTGGGCCTCAACTGGGCTTCATGAAAAATACTTGGTGGACTTAGCCCATTATCTATGTATTGAGGAGCGATCCATTATTCTATAAAAATGACTCCCTCACTTTCATTAGATAGCACCCATTATTCATGTACTGAGGAGCGAGCCCTCATTTTATAAAAGGGATTCCCTCACCTTCATTAGAGGGCATCGCCGCCAGCTGAGCAACCGCCTTGCCGCGAGCATCACTCATAACCCATCAGTTATGTATTGAGGAGCAAGCCCTTATTTTATAAAAGGGACTCCCTCACTAGAGAGCATCAACTCTAGCCCATCATTTATGTATTGAAGAGCGAGCCCTTATTCTATAAAAGGGACTCTCTCACCTTCAACGCCACAAGCCAAGCCAACCAAGGCAACATAAGCCACGAGTCGAGCAGCCTCGCAGCATGTGATACTTCTAGTTGAGCATCATTTCATATTGAGCACCGCCTCATATTGAGCATCAGTTCAAGATAACATATGGTTACTTCGGCCCACACATGGACTGAATTTCAAGTCTCCAGTCAAAAGACTCTATTGACTGAAGACTTGGGGGACTACTATTTATACCATACTTAGGGCCTCCGTATTTAGATCTCGTACAAATACTCGGGGGACTTAAATGTAATTACGTAATAAAGGAAAGGACAAATATGTAATAAGTAAGGAGCTCTTATTCTATAAAATGACTCATCACCCTCACAATTAGGGAGGAGGCCATTTCCTGGGCCTAAGGTCTCTCATATTCAAAGGAAGCCTCCTCACCCCCAGAGGCTTCACTCTCACCTCACAAACTCTCTCTCCCTCACCTCTCAGATAAATACAATATCAGTGTGGACGTAGCCCAAACCTTGGGGTGAACCACGATACATCTTGTGTTATTTACATTTCTTGCAGATTCACGGTCGGATTTACGTTGTTCCAAGACCTCCGGTTTTGTGCATTAACAGAAGCCAAACTCCGAATCTAGAACATATACACCAAATCCAAATTCTCTTCATGAACCCCTGCAAATATATACAAACAAATTACCATATGGATAGAAAGTGAGGTTAAGGGATATGCAAAATACCCTTACTGTGACGGAGGCTATAGAACACTTGCCCTGGATGGGAACCGACATGTGGGTTGGGGGAGGGAAAGTGAGGGAAGGAAATGGATTTGATATCCAATTTCAGATCGGAGCCCGTAGATCCAAGCACATGATGGAGGTGCAGATGGATATCATGGCTAAGGAGGGGGATGAAGGAAAAATAACAAATAGAAAAGTAGTAAAAACGGATGAAAAACACTAGATTGGGGGCATGAAGCCCAATTTGAGACAAGCTCAGGGTTATTGAGACCAAACTCAAAGAAGACTATGAAGGAAAAGAGGGTGGGAAGCTATAAGAGGAAAGGCGTAGAGGAGATGGGAGGGGAGGAAAAGAGGGAAAGGGAAAAAAAAAGGATATGGGAGAGGAGATGAAGGGGAAGAAGGAGGAGAAGTGGGAGGGTATAACGGATTGTGAGAAAGAGGGAAGGAGAAGAAAATAAGGGTGGGTTGCCACCAGCACCCAAGCCAAGGGCTAGGGCTGGCTACGAAGGAGAATACTGGGTTGGTATTTCAATAAAGAGAGTTTTTTCTAGAAAGAGAAACTAGAAAGAGTTTGTTTGGTCTCATTCTAACCGATTGAGCTTTGTGTTTAAATTACAACCAAGTAAAAATTGAAAATCTACATATTATTGGATCCTACGTCCATTATCTCAGTCTCTCTCTTTCATAATCGTTTGGTTCCAAAGTTAAGAAAAGCCAATACACACTCACACCACAACATAATTTTTACTTGTTGACAACATCTAACAGCGACACACTCGTAACTTTCTCCTTCAAGCATTTTTGTAGCGTTGAGTAACAAAGAAACAATTGACGAAAATAGTTTGTTCCAACAGTAATTGAGTCCAATTTAAAGCAACACTATCAAATAAAATTTCAAAAATCTATAGTTAATGGGTGAAGTGGTTAATTTATTAATATAATAGGTCGAATTTGGATTACTACTTAAGCTTAACCGGTCGGATTTGGATCACCCATATAAAAACAGTTTTTGCTCAATCCGACCCATCCACTAAACGCGACGCCTTGTCAGCTCTAGATTATAGCCAACACCTAAAACCCTAATTTTTATTTCTTCCATCTCTCTTTATCTGCAGCCGCCACCCGCACGCTCCTCCTTTGTACTTCTTCTACTCCTGATACCATTTTTGCAGAGAGAGAGAGAGATGGGCGAAGAAGTGAAGGCGGCGCCGGTGGTTCCGGAGTCAGTGCTGAAGAAGAGAAAGAGAGAGGAGCAATGGGCCCTTGCTAAAAAGCAAGACCTCGAATCTGCCAAGAAGAAGAGCTCCGAAAACCGCAAGCTGATCTACAACCGGGCCAAGCAGTACGCCAAGGAGTACGATGAGGAGGTACATATGCAATACGCGTTTGATTAGTACTGTTCTATTTATTTGATCAATTTTGGAATTGGTACTGGGATTTCAATTGGGTTTTGATGGTCTAATTTGTCCCCTTTTTTTCAGCAAAAGGAGTTGATTCGATTGAAGCGCGAAGCGAAACTGAAGGGTGGGTTTTATGTAAACCCAGAGGCCAAGCTGTTGTTCATCATCAGGATTCGTGGGTATGTATGAATTTGGTTTAATGCTGATTGGGTTTGTTTGTTTTTGTTTTGTTTTTTTCGTCAAAAGAACGATTTGTTAGATAAAATGTTGGATTAGGGAAAGAACGATTTGTTAGATAAAATGTTGGATTAGGGAGCCGACGGGGTTCGAACCCATGCCAAACGCTCCTCTCTACCACTGTGGTAGAGGGCCACTTGTTGATTGGGTTTGTATTTGGTTTAATGCTGATTGTGATCTTTGTCTTGGTGTTTTTTAACATTCAGAATCAATGCTATTGACCCAAAAACTAAGAAGATTTTGCAGCTTCTTCGTTTGAGACAGGTATAATCCTGATCGAATCTAGTATTTCTGGAATGGGTAATTGCAGTGGAGTAATAAAATGCAATTGATATTTTAATTCTCTGGTTTTCATTCGTTTTTTGGGTTGTAGCAGATATTCAATGGTGTGTTCTTGAAAGTAAACAAGGCCACATTGAACATGCTTCACAGGGTTGAACCCTATGTGACCTACGGGTATGTCATTTTTTTCGTTTCGAGCTTCATAGTCTCATGATCGTTTATCCCGGGTTGTTTTGTTAATTTGATGTAATGGACTTCAGGTATCCTAATTTGAAGAGTGTCAAGGAGTTAATCTACAAGAGGGGTTATGGGAAACTTAACAAGCAGAGAACTGCTTTGACTGACAATTCAATTGTTGAACAGGTAGAGAAAGTACATGATTAGTAAAGTTTAATAACGTGATCAATTTTTGTTTAAACACATTGGCGTTCTTTCATTGACATTTCTTGAAATCACAGGCTTTGGGCAAGTTTGGAATTATCTGTGTGGAGGATCTTATCCATGAGATCTTGACTGTTGGGCCTCACTTCAAGGAGGCAAATAACTTCCTTTGGCCATTTAAGCTTAAGGCTCCTCTCGGTGGTCTGAAGAAGAAGAGAAATCACTATGTTGAAGGCGGTGATGCTGGAAACCGTGAAGACTATATCAATGAGCTCATCAGGAGGATGAATTAGATTTATGCAAGTACATTTCTTTTTGAAATTTTGAGGTGTTCACTTCTTTTATTTTGCGTCCATCAACCTTTTAAGACTTAGTTCTCCTATTTCGTCGTGAAATCTAATTGGTGATATCTTTACAAACATGGTTTGGCATTGATTTTTCTTACCATGAAATATTGTGGAATGCAAGTTTAGGAGCATTGGATTCTCAGTACTAGTCCTATTTCATGTAGTTGATGCCAAGCATTATACAAAGTATTAAATAGGAGTATGCATACTACATTTTTGGTTTCAAGTTCTCATGCCATCAGAATCTGCTGTCCTTGCCGATCAGTTTATTCAAAATTTCAACGTACCGGAGAACAAATTATACCAAATTCAAAGGTAAGGTAATTTATCACAAAAATATACGAAGAACAAGGGTTTAGATTTTGCAAAAAAATCTAGGATTTAGGGTCTTGCAGAATCAAAACTTTGGAGTATGAAGATTTAGGGTTTAAGGTTTTGTTTTTGTTGTTGGCATCAGAACTTTGTATGAATCGAATCAGATTAGCAAGTAGTGACTGTTTGAAGCGACTGTTTGGTGGACATCAAAGCAAAAGCCCTATCTGCGCTCTCTCTCTCTCTCTCTCTCTCTCTCTCTCTCTCTCTCTCTCTCTCTCTCTCACACACACACACACACACACACACACACACACACATCGTTCCTCTAACCCTGACAGGCTCTCTCTTGTAGAACTGTTAGACATTTGACCGAACGAATCTAATAGCTCTGGTTAAGATGTGCAACTTTAATGTGCGCTTTTGGTGTCCATTGACGAATTTTCACTAACGCTCAACCCTTCCCCTCTTCGGGTATGATGACTCTAGACCGTCTTCCGCAATGTATATCTTATAACAGCTTTCAGAGTCAATCCTCTAACCCTTAACCCTTCCCCTCTTTTAGTTTTCTTTTTTCTGAAACAATCGGTGGTATCCACACTAAGGGGATGAGAGAGTGTGTTAAGCCTTACAATGGGCTTGCCATAGTAATGTGATTCAACTTCGACTTGGCGAGAATCGAACCTAAAACCTCTCTTACAAGTGAAGATGAATACAACTAGATTGTAGTGCTAAGTGGTGCTATACCATTAAACATGTACAACATATTTACATAAAATAAATAGTAGTTGTTGATAGTTTTACCATTTACACCAATATTATACAAATAAAGAGTTGTTCGAAATATAACCGCATTGTGGTGCTTTGACCACTAAGCAATAGTTAAACTATATTTACACAACTTGTCTAGTGCTGCTTTTCAATGCTGTTCCACTCTTAAGATTGATTCATTTTTCTCTTAAAAAACTAATTATTTCATTACTAATCAATATAGCTTACAAATGTCAGTTACAAACATTCTCAAAATAAAAAAACTTCTCGATTTACCAATAAGCAGAAATAATTAAACGTAGAAGCTTCAAATATGTAATACGATTCCTATATATGGGGTAATCATCAAGAATCAGAGTAAAATCGAGTTGGGTCATAGACTTTTGGAGGAACCTAGATTATAATATCAGTAAAATCGATATTGTGAAATTGTGAAATTGTGAAAATGTCGAAATGTGATCTTGTGAAATTGTGAATATGTCTTATGGTGAAATTGTGAAAATTGTGAAAATTGTGAATATGATATGTGAAAATTGCAGTTAATATGTGAAATTATAGGAAAATACAGAAATTTGAATAATTGTAGAAATATGTGAGAATTGTAAGAAATATGTGAAATTTGTTGAAAATTTGTAAAAATTGTATAAATATGTGAAAATTTGTGAAATATTACGAAAATAGGAAAGAAATTAAATTTGTAAGAAAGAAATTAAATTTGTAGGAATTAAATTAAATTTGTAGGGAAGTAATTAAATTTGTAGTAAGGAAATTAAATTTGTAGGAAAAATAAATAAAATTGTAGGAACCAAATTAAATTTGTGTGAACGAAATTTATTGTGTTATTTTTTCATAGATATCATCGTGGTTGATCAATAGTGGTCGCCACTCTGCCTCCACTTTGGGCTAGAGTGACCCGGCGGCCGAGATACCGAGTAGAACCCAGGCGGCCAATGCCGAGTCGTCGGCATGCCCCAGTACATTTGCTGCATCAGGTTGGGTGCCTCGATCTGCCAGGCATGTTTATAGCCAGAGACGGCACGAACATGTGCCAGCCCCACCTCACCTTGTTAAAACTGAGGAGGCTGATGCCGATTCGGTAACTGTGCGCCCGAAAGGAGACGGAGAACTCACAACTGGGAAGAAGACCAAAGTGTGGGGGATGAGATTTGACCTCCAACCAGATCACTGGCTTATAGCATAACCAGATCGTGATCGATTACAACCACTCAATTGGCAAGTGAACCTGAAAGTCAACAGCTTGTTGACTCACGACATGAGTACCATCGTCTGCACCAAGTGTCCCATGCTTTTTTTTTTTTTTTTTTTTATTAAATGCATTTTTTAAGCTAACAACACTTTTTTTTTTTGTTTATTTCAGACCAATGTATCCAATTATCCATCGACATGCACCACCTGGGTACGGAAGAGTACATAAACCGGGTGTGGGCTAAGCGGTACAAGGAGTGGAAGTACGAGATGCACTTGTACTACAACACTTGTGCATTTCCTGTTGATGTTTCTATCGATCACCCCCAGAGTTTGCAGAGAAGATTGCCAAGTGGGAGTGGTTATGTGGTCATTTTCGGAGCCCGACATTTTTGGTAGGTTTTCTTTATATTTTTCTTCCACTTTTTTTGTTGATATTTAACTTTAATTAAAATTTTTAATTACAACAAAAATCGACAGCAAATAAGGCTAGCTGGGAAGCAAAGCCGTACCTTCATCACTCCGGTTCTGGCCCCTATCTTTTCAAATCCGGGAATAGTGTGAACATGGTTCATTTTTTTTCGGAAGTTGAGGCTTGGGGGATATACATGCCCTTATAAATTTCAAAACTATGATCGATAATTTTAATTGTTTTTTTAAGCTTCTATGTTGCAAAAGAAGGACTAGTACCTCGCCTACCTCTCCCAACAATGACTAGATACGCCAATGGAAGAGCTGACACTTGATCTAGATGTGTCTTTGCAGTTGTTGATGGATGGGGTTGGGCGAAGAAAAGGCAAAACGACCTAGGAGCGGGTTGGATCGAGTTTGAGATCTCTGAAGGTTCATCTAGTAGTCTGACTATGTGCAAGGTGTCTTCCAGACTACACTAGTTGGAGATAGAGCTAACAATCATGTGCTAGCGAGGATAAGAAGCTAGAGAAGAAGCACGCCAACGAGAATAAGTTGTGCGCCATCAAGAAGAAGCTCGGGAGGTAGTCATGCACTAGCGAGAGGAGGGCCTTCTGCTTACATTGCTGGGATAGCCCAAACAATGTCACCCTCTTACATTTGCCTTCTTGATCCTCTGAGCGACCTTCAGCCACCATCCCACCAGCCACCCAGTAGTCGTAGTTAGTTTAGTATTTTACATATAATTGTATGAATATTTTATTTATAATAATCTAAAATTTTAAAATAAATCAAAATATTAAAGAATAGAATAAATAAATATTTAAGGGTAAATTACACTTTCATACCTTAGGTTTGGGGTCCATTTCAACCTCATACAACAACTTTAAAACATTTCACTTTCATACCTCAAGTACTATTTTATTTCAATATAATACATCCGTTAGATTTTCCATCCATTAATCCGTTAAATGCTGACGTGGCTGCCAAATGTCTGCCACGTGGCAAATAAAATTAAATTTTTTTTTTTAAAAAAAAAAACCTGAATTTTCTCAAAAAAAAAAAAAAAAACCTAGATCTGCAAGAAGAAGAAGAATAGGGAGGAAGAAAGAAAAAGAAAAAAAAAATTGTCCTCCCCCCCCCACCTAGCGACCCAGAAGAAGAAGAAGAAGAGGGAGGAAGAAAAGAAAAAAAAAATTTGTCCATAACCCCCCCTCCCCAACCCCAGCGATACAAAAGAAAAGAAGAAGAGGAAGAAGAAGAAGAAGAGGGAGGAAGAAAAGAAAAAAAAAAAAATTTGTCCCTCTCCCCCCCCCCCAACGACCCAGAAGAAGAAGAAGAGGGAGGAAGAAAAGAAAAAAAAAATTTGTCCCTAACACCCCCCCCCCAAAAAAAAAACCCCAGCGACAAAGAAAAAGAAGAAGAGGAAGAAGAAGAAAAAGAAGAGGGAGGAAGAAAAAAAAAAAAATTTGTCCCTAACACCCCCCCCCCCAAAAAAAAAAAACCCAGCGACAAAGAAAAAGAAGAAGAGGAAGAAGAAGAAAAAGAAGAGGGAGGAAGAAAAAAAAAAATTGTCCCAAACCCCCCCCCCCAACCCCATCGACAAAGAAGAAGAAGAAGAAGAAGAAGAAGAAGAAGAAGAAGAAGAAGAAGAAGAAGAAGAAGAAGAAGAAGAAGAAGAAGAAGAAGAGAAAAAAAAAAATTTGTCCCAAACACCCCCCCCAACCCCAGCGACAAAGAAGAAGAAGAAGAGGAAGAAGAAGAAAAAGAAGAGGAAGAAGAAGAAGAAGAAGAGGGAGGAATAAAAGAAAAAAAAAAAACGTCCCTAACCCCCCCCCCAACCCCAGAGACAAAGAAGAAGAAAAAGAAGAGGGAGGAAGAAAAGAAAAACAAAATTAAAAAATTAATTTTTTTGCCACGTGGCAGAGATTTGGCAGCCACGTGGCACAAATGTGGTAGTCACGTCAGCATTTAACAGATTAATGGATGGAAAATCTAACGGATGTATTATATTGAAATAAAATAGTACTTGAGGTATGAAAGTGAAATGTTTTAAAGTTGTTGTATGGAGTTGTAATAGACCTCAAAACCTGAGGGGCTACTGTGTAATTTACCCAATATTTAATTTAAATATTGTTTTAGTTAAGAATTTTAAACAAAAAATTTAAAAACGTTGTTCGACGATTCTTTCATTGGGAAAAATATTTTAAAATTTTTTGTTGCCGAAAACCTGGCGAAATAACAGTGTGGCACATATTTCATTCGTTGGGCCAAGTTGATCAATGCACTTTACTTGATGAAATAATTTTGTTGGGTAAAATACAATTTGTTTGACGATTTTGTACTATTCGTCGGGTGAACTCTGCACCAACGATATTTACGCGACTAACATTACACGACGGAATGGCTGGAATGACTTTTAACTTATAAAAAAGGGCTTTTGTTTTGTTTTTTTTTTAAAGATGGGTTTTTCCCTGTTTTGTTTATCTATAGAAAAAAAAAAATTTACTAAATGTATCTAACTTTTTATTCATGTATAGTTTCATCGAGATACAATCTCAATCACGATGTAACTTTCTTATTCCTAAATGGGCTTCTTCAATTTTTATAAATTGTCGGACCAAAATTATAAACAATTTGTCTCTTTTTAGTGCAAGTTGCTACCTTCATACGTACGTGCGGTCGCCATACCTACTTACGTAAGTGCGGTCGCCATACTAGAGGAGACGCCGTTGTATTACACCTATCCCCTGCATGTAGATTTATCATATGCCCGAGAGACCGCGTGTCCTCTCCTTTTCATATTTTATTATAAGGTTCGTTTGTGTACATATCCAAACCAATACACACACACACACACACACACACACACATATATATATATATATATATATATATATATAGAGAGAGAGAGAGAGAGAGAGAGAGAGAGAGAGAGAGAGAGAGAGAGAGAGAGAGAGAGAGAGAGAGAGAAGCAATGGAGGCTTACAAAGAGAGAAGAGAGCAGCTGATGGAGGAAGAGAAAAAGAGAGGAGGAGGGAGGAAAGAAGAATATACAATAACTGACGATGAGTCTGTAGCAAGCAAGAATATGAGGGTTGGATTTGACCCAGTGGCTAAAGCAATCATTCAAGAGTGCATAATCAGTCATGACGGCGGAAACCGCGGTGGAGCTAAAGGCCCTGATGATGTTCTTGCGTTCTCCCGATCTGATCACAAAACTGACTCTTCACTTGAGTGACTGCGTACTGATCAGGGTGAATAATGTAACATTTCTACTGTATGCCCTTTGAAATATTATATATCTTGTTTTTAATTAAAAGTTGAATATCAGAGTCCGCAACGAACAAGACTAACAAGAATAATAAGAATATTATTAATAGAGAAGAATGCCGGAACGGCTACAAAACCCTAAGAGACTACATCTTGACTAGCTTGATATTCTACGAGCTACAAAGCATCATATATATAGAGAACTAACATAACCCTAATAAGCAAGAAAATGAAACCCTAATACTAATGGGCTAAGCCCAAATTCAAACAATAAAATAATCCTAAATTCCAACACCCCCGTCAAACTCATGGTGGTACATGTCATGAGTTTGCCAACAAACAGATGTGGATGCAAGCTTCGTTAGGCGGACAAGACAAGACAAGCTCCGTTAGGCGGACACGAAAAGGCAAATTCCATTAGGCAGACACGACAAGGCAAGCTTTATCTTTTTCTTTCTCTTTTTTTCTTTTTCCTTTTTTCCTTTTTTTTGTTTTCTGGTGGGCATGATGGCGGGTTTGATGCAGGTTGATGGGTTCAACAAATTTGATCAGGTGGGCTTGGTTGGCATAGCGACAGATGTGCAGAAGCAGGTCCGGGAGCGAAGCATTTGGAGTCAGGGATGGCAGTAGGTACATCAGCGGTGCGAGACAAAGGGGTAGCAGTGGTATGGTGGATCGGTCAGATCGGCGGGTTGGGATTTGGGTTGCAGGTTCCTTCAGTGCTGGGGTTTTCAGGTATGGGGGATGGATGCAAGCGGTTGCTTTGGTGCAAGTTTGGGTTCTGGCAGATAATGAATGGCGAACAGTGTGGTGTGCCTCCTAACCCCAAGCAAACATATTCAACTTTTTTCCTTTGTTTTCAAACAACAAAACCCTAATTAAAACAAAACTGATACTGAATGAACAAACAAATCGATATCAACCCCAAAACAGATTAATTCCCGAATGATTTAACCTGCTCTGATACTAAGTTGAATATCAGAGTGCGTAACGAACAAGACTAACAAGAATAATAAGAATATTATTAATAGAGAAGAATGCCAGAACGACTACAAAACCTTAAGAGACAACATCGTGACTAGCTTGATATTCTACGAGTTACAAAGCATCATATATATAGAGAACTAACCGAACCTTAATAAGTAAGAAAACGAAGTCCTAATACTAATGGGCTAAGCCCAAATTCAAATAATAAAATAATCCTAAATTCCAACAAAAAAATATATATATCTTATCTGCATAATTTAACAGTATAATATATATTGGGTTTATGTGTACCATATTGAATTCTCGAGTCTCCAACACTCTTGAGGAATACAAAAACTCACCACTTGAAAGTGTTGATCTTGGAGATACAGAGTTATGGAGCTCACTAGTCAAGTGAATCCATCTAATAAATACAGAGTTTAAATTGTAAAGTTAAAAAATTATATATAAAAAATTAAATTTCAACTCTCACTTCCCCTGCAAAACATGTAGAGAAGGGTAAAAAGCATCCCTTGAATCAACCTTTCATGAACTGCAGGTAACCTTTGAAACGAGATTAACATTTGAAGTCAATATTAACGGAGTAAGAATTATTACCAAAAATAAAGACTCCTAAGATTCTAAAAGGGTAACTATTTGAAGACGAAAAAAATAACACTTTCTAATACAAGTGAATCTAGTTGAAACAACTTAAACGCAGAGCATGGCTGGTGTGACAAAAAATATAAAACAATATTGACAAATAAATCAAGGGGTGTGATATCCACACACCCCTTTTTACTTCTCCCACACCTTTTTAGTTTTCAACCGTCAGATCGGATGAATTGAAGAAGATCAACGGACATAAATTAACAAAGGGTGTGTGAGAAGTACCACACAACCCTAAATCAAAAGGTATAATGGTTAGATTTGCAACATATGGACACGTCCTGCAGATATATCTACACGAAGCATGATCCAAATTATGACAACCAAGAAGGATTTCCCGTGAGTTATCAAAATAGCTATCTTGTGTGTGTACGTATATCAGATAATATAAACAACAAGAAGAGTCAGATAATATAAACAACATGAAGTTTCTTCATCATATAATTGAGAGGATAAGGTGAAATTCAAGGCCATACCGATTGGTACGTATTAGCGACAGATGATATTTCTAAATATCGAAATGCATGTGAGGACATTGGACCCTCGTCATCTTCCATACAACATATGTTTACGAGACATACCGTTTTATATCCTATCTCATATTTAGGGGTGGTTCAGTATGAGATCTCAAACTAAAAATGGAATCTCGAATCCCAAACTGAAAATTTTGGGGATGGGAATTTGAAGACCAATCCCAAACCAAAATTTCGGTATTCCCAATTTTTGGGATTTCTGAAATATTTTCGGTATTTCGGGATGGTTTGGTATTCTCAAATTTCATACAAATTGAAATAAAAATCTTTCTTACCATGCAACCCAAATAAAATAAGTAACAAAACCCAAAAGTAAAAAAATAAGTTACAAACCTAATATGGTTTCGTATTGAACAAATAGACACATTT